GTCGAAGGCCAAAACCAATGAGTGAATGTTGGAAAACCACGAAAATATATCCTATATTTTCGCACACGTCTGAGTTCAGACTATGTGCCAAAAACAAATCACGATATAATAATCATTATAAAACGAAAACAGTCCCATGATTTGCTTGAGGGCACGGTACTACTATGTTGCTCAGGCCAAAGCACGGGAGTTTTTTCCAATGAATTCACAACCGGAACCTTTGACTAGCCAAAATCTGATATGAAAGCTAACGGGCCGATGTTTACGTAGTTTGGCTCGAGTTGGATGGAGCGAGCGTGTAAGCAATTCGGAGCTAAGGCGTCGCGTATTTGGTAGTGATTCGATGGAAAATTCTTCGTCTCGTCGAATTCAGATCAGTCGGTTTCACTGGTTAGGACACGTATTACGTACGCATGTCCAGCCATCATCTACCGCACCGCGCCTTATTCGCATTTGCGGCTCCAGGTTGGAAGAAACTGCATGGAGGCTAACAGCTGACTTGGAGACGAGGCATGAAGAAAGGCACAAAGCGATTTGGTGGAATAGGAATCTCCTGTCTTCCAGGTTGGGGTCCAAAAGACTCTGCAACTGGCTGGTTGGAGGCACTGAAGGATATGGCTACTAACCGGTAGCAGTGGTGTTCTTGTTGTCATTTCTTATCAGGTTCGAATGCTTGATAAGTTATGTATGCACACTTGGATTGTGTACTCCGTTTGTTGAGCATAGAGATTCACTTTCTTTGCCTCCCTCCAATTAGGCCCTATCCCTCTTCATCTTGTGTTTTACTACTTGATTGTGTACATTGTGAGCTTAGCAGCGATCAGTGAAGTTCGCTTCACTGTATCTCGCTGTAGGATGATGATGATGATCATGGAGTGGTGTGAAAAAGCCGCAGTCCATTGGAGTGGGGGCGGTGTCCTTTGCACCGGATCATTCGCTCTTTGGAAGGGATCGAACGTCCGAGGAGCCCAATACACCTCAATACTCAATCAAGCTATTGACTACCAGGACGATGTGGGTGTGTGTGGGGTTTGTACGCCTCCTCTTGGTTGGTTTGGGATCCGAGGTTTTAGCCAACTCCCCTGGGTGAAATGCCACTGGTTCACGGATCCGGTTATAGCCCCAGATTTTGGCTCTTCATCCTCTGACTTTGGTGGGTAGACACCTCTGACACGGGAAGGCACTGAATAAGGCTTCCTCAGCAAAGTCTATCTGAGACGCTTGGTCGTGATGTGTAAGGCATATGTGACAATTCACAACCCAAGCCACTCACCCCCGAACATATGATGAAAGCACCAGTGACAACCATTCTCCCCAGAGGAACTTACTGTTTTGACAAGCACACTACATTTCATCGTTTATGGTCATTTAGAGCCATCAGTGCTTGATTATTGCAGTCGTGTTGGTTGCCACAGACCGAGGCAGGTGTCTCATTGATCGGGTTGGAATCGGCTCATCGGATCCGGTCACTTGCATCCGAATACGAACAGGGTGAATCGGGTGTTCGTGGCTTGCTTATTTAGGCGTTTCCCCCGGACAGTCGGCAGTCCAGCCTGACGGATATTCTCTTATTCCGCCAGGACCGAATACAGTAGTAAAAAAGTTTCTCCAGTAGTCTGCCTACCTAATTCCATCATATCGCTTTTTGGTCATGATTCCCCATTTAATTTTGCACTTATGATTAATAATTTCTTTGTATTTCACACACTTGTCTGCCCTCAAATTGTGCACGTAACAGATCATGGTACAACAAACAGCCTTTGGAATACAAACGGAATGTTGCCGGGCATCCACGACCGCAGCAGGCGAGTTTTCTCGAGTAATGCACAACAAGAACCTTCGAATAACCAAACACTTGATCCGCGAGACAGCCGGACAATGTGTGAAAACCATAATCTATTATGGGCCAGTCGTATCATACACCCTTACTTCGGGTGCGTAATATGCCTCATCGAGGTGCTGGTCAACACAGTCAGGACTTTCGGGAGCTAGTTCACACACCTCTACGTTTGCACTCTGAGATCAGGGTTTTCCAGCTTCTCTGAACAAATTATTTACCGGTGGCACTTCAACCCGGCTATGACTGTCGCACCTTTGTCACGGTAAGACAATAAGTAGGAATTCCTCAACTGAACATTTTATGAGACGCACTGTATGAGAACAGTTCCTGAGGCCTTGAACACCGTCAGAGGATATCACATGAAAAACTGCTGTCCCCCAGTATTATTATTATTTCAACAAGTAACCAATTACAGAGAACTGACAAATGCGCCACAACATATGAACAAAAAGAGATCTGAAGAATCTGTTCGCCACGAGAAGGTAGCGTGTAGGGCTTCTTCGACAGAGGCTATTTGAGACGCTTGGTCATCTTGGAGCATTTCGCGCGAGGTGTAAGGGAATGGTGAGCAGTCACAACCCTAGACCGCCCACCTCGATCATGCTCAGGCTTCTCCAATCCCCAGCAATAAACTCCTGTAGGTTTCCCAAGGTGCCCCTCTTCCACTTTAGGATAATCTGCATTCGGTATGAAAGAAAAAACACCGACCGAACAAGTGTACGACTGTTGTACTTTCTCTACATCCTGTGATAAATTCATGCGTAATGTTGCGTAGTACACTTGCGCCAGTGTCATTTAGCGTTCCCATTCTGTCTTGGGAACGTCATAACTCAAGTAACAAGGATAAACTAACAGGTGTTGACAAAGTCGCCGAATAAAATCGAATATCATTCCCGTCGTGTGTTGATTTATGTATCTGCATTATCTCTGCGGAAAATGCCTTTTCTTCAGCTTCATTTCCATCTCTATAGTTTTATTAACCTACCGGCAATATCCACAACATGATCTCTCCCACCCAACCCTACCCCGCTGTTCTGATCATTCAGGCAGGATGTGTTACATTGTGCTTAGATTACAGAAACTTGACCACGGGTTGTTGTCAGTCAGGAAAGAGCTGTTCTCTTGATGCCTATTTACGGGTTGCTTTTTATTGCAACGTGGTACGTGCACTCATTCATACTCGACACCATGAACGATAGAGCACAAAAGCGTGTTGGTATTTTATTTCGGCCTTTCTACAAACACTGTGTGAAAATGACCAACTAAAGCTGTGAATGAAAACTGGAAAAAGAATGTGACCGTGATTAAACTGTCCTACTAAATTATGTTTTATTGTCCGTGACGTACGTGATGTCCGTTTGTGCGTGTGTGTGTGTGTGTGTGTGCATGAGGTAGCTTGTGCGAATGCACATAACCAGCACCATAGGTACATGCAAAATCTTGCATTGTAGTGTGACCTGTCGGTTTTCTGTGTATATCTGTCGTACGGTTCGTTCTTCTGCTGGATTGCAAATCGGCCGATATACACGTTTAGGTGTGCCTAAACGTCTCGGATTAGACGTTCCATGTTGTGCATCACTTGCGATGGTGAATCGGTGAACTCCCTCTGTTGTAGAACTGAAAATTTGGACACAGCAATGTCCGATTGAAAGTTGTCGTTCTTCAGTTGAATTGTACATCTTCCTGGAGAAAACATTTGCACCGATTCACTCCACAATGCTTGCCAACATTCTTTNCGTTGATCATAAGGCTTTTTCCATAGCCATACACAAGGAATGAGTAAGTGACGGGAAATGCGGAAAACGCAAAACTCAAATCAGCCCCCCTTATGACTGAGTTGATTCCCTCTATCCACAGTTTCCCAATAGTTTCAGTCAGGTTGTCAGTACACTTATCCCCAAACAAATTGAGGGAACAAAGGAGAGTAGTGCAAATTTTCGCATTTATCCAATCGCCATTTGACTCCACTCGTTGATCGATTGTTGCGTCCTCATTTCACGGACAAACCCGCCCCGCATCCCACCCCCGATCTGATTCGATCTCGTTTGCCAACAAGTTTGTCTAGCAGACCAGAGACAGCATTGAGTGCGTAAATCGTGAACAGACTGAGTTGTATACTAACCGCGAAAAAAAAACAAGAAAAGTTGAAAATCCGTTCGCATCCTTTTCCTATTGGAACTAATTTTATTATTGCTGTCTCCGTGTTTCACTTTTTTGTCTGGAAAAAAATTTTTTTCCATCCATTCATTTCTCGTTTGTTTTCTCGTATGGGCTGAGACGTTAAAATTCAAACCACTATTTCTGTTCACGTCCTGGGTATATATATATTCAAATTTTTATTGTGGGTAAATTACAAAGCTGATGCTTTATCACGGGTGATGAAAAGTTACGTAGTTCAATGCTTCATCCAGTCGTGACTTGAATGAATCGATGGTTGATGCACAAGCAACTTGAGGTGGAAGGGACTTACAGGTATTACAAACTCTAAGGCTGAAAGAATGACGCCTGCAGTCGAATCGGCAATTTTGGAGCAGAAATTTAAACGGATGTCCTCGGAGATGACCATTTCTGGATAGTGTCCCGAGAGTGCTGCACGGGTGATTAGGTTGATGTAGGATTTGATAAACCACGATCATATCTCCCCCGTATTCGACGGTATTCAGACAAACAGAGTCCGAGAATTCGCAGTCTTTCATCATAGGTCTCAGATTGTAACCTTTTGACCATTTTGGTTGCTGTTCTCTTTGCGGACGTTCAGGTGCCTTTTGGTCGTGAATCAGTCATGGATTCCAAGCCTGTATATAGCATACTCGGTGTGTAGTCTAATGTATGCTGACAATAAATGGGGCAGTAGGTCTGTTTCGAATGATCCGAAAACACGTTTTTAGCAATCCAACGTGTTATATAGCCTTTGTAGACGCTCTTGCGCGATGTGTGGAACATCCTAGATCCTCACGAACGATAATTCCCAGATTCTTTTCGTTTGGAGACTACTTCACAGCAGAATACAGAGCAGTGAACTTCACTGATAGGTGCCAAACTCGCAGTGAATATGCATTACGGTTTGATAGACAGGTACTACTAGGGTGTTCAGTCACTAAGCAGGAAGTTACTAAGCATTCAAAGCGAGCGATCGGCCTGATCTGCACTAAGTTGCTTCATGTCTTCTCTGGTATCGATTTGTTCGTTAAAATAAATGTTTTAAACCTCGGACCTTGTTACCTGTGTTTACCAGTATATTCCTATTGGTCCACACACACACACACAAATTGTGTTTACGATCGAAATCACTGTCGTTTCTTCGTCGTCGTCGTCCCCCCTTGCCCGCCAAACCGTTTGCCTTGTCTTTTTTTCAGGTCATCGCTATGATCAATCCCATCCGATTTACGGATCATCGCACATTATGCATAATTATTCACGTCGCTTGGGAACCGGTGCTTCACGCGTTGCCAGTGCACGTGGCACCGGATTCCTTTTTTTCCGATTATGCGTTATATTAGCCATTCATACTTATTCCTGAATTCTAGTCGTCGCAGCTGGTTCGCTCCAAGCCGTGATGCGAGAGAAAAATGACCTAGATGTAGCAAAAGTAAATGATATGTTATACACACACACACACACACACACGATTTCATCGATGCTCTGAAACAGATTTTGTATTTAGTACACCAACTCCCACAACAATTCTGAATAGTCCACTATCCACCATATTCTCCAAACCGAATCATCTTCCACAAAGGACGCTCAAAATTACATCCTGGTTTTTTGTTGCTCAATTCCTGTTGGGACTAATAGCTAATCTATCTACAACAGGGTCTGACACACCGATTTCAGTTTTTACAATCATTAACCATGGCACTTTCGTGCGCCTGTTTTTTTTGGTTGCTGTCTTTTGGTCCCCCATTTGGATAAAACAGAGAAGGATAAAGAATTGAATGTTGAAAGCCTCTTCCAGGGGAAGATAGAGAATTCATACAGACTGACGTAGCAAGAATAATGAGTAGATGCATGAGCGCCACTGTTCGAGACACCTGTTCAGTTCAGTTTGTACAACCATTAACCATACACATTTGAGTGGCGGTTTCGGTTGCTCACTTTTGGCTGCCCATTTGGATGAAGAAAAGGGAAAAAACAGAAATGTTGAAAGTAGAATCGAAAAGAAAATAGGGAATCTCAGTGGTCTAGTATTGCAAAGAACTTGTGAAAATGCACGAACGCCACTGTTTACGACACCCAGCCATATCACTCAGTGTCTCTAACCATCGGTTACGATCATCCCGAGGTCCCCAGACAAGGGGCCTATCGGGACCTATGTGACCCAATACCCTGGTTAGGGCTTTCACACCCTTGTGTCAGGTCTTAGGTTGACCACCCCTTGGTTTTTTGCACTCACTACCTGCCTAGGCAAACATCGCTCGTCGTGGCAACTTATTTGTTGAAATGCTTTTCGACACCCAGCCATATCGCTCAGTGTCCCTAACCATCGGGGACCACGATCTCGGGGTCCCCATTCCGAGAGCTTATCGGGACCTATGTAACCCAGTCTCCTATTTAGGGTTTTCATACTCTTGCGCCAGGTCTTTGCTTGACCGCTCTTGACTTTTTTTCGCACTTTTGTCTCTACTCATTTGAATTCAGTAGTTCCATAAAACTTTAGTTACCTTATACCGCTATCGAACTCACTGTGTGTTTCTGTTTATCGACTAGCGTACTAATAACAACTTGAACAATGGGCACCATCAGAGCACGAGTTAATTCATCGTTAAACTTTTCCTAGAGTCATCTTTCGATGTATCTGAAAAAGGTGGCTCGTGCTCACAATAATCGATTTTCAACTCAGTCTTGTGCGAGCGATCAATATAATTGTTGTACTCGCTCGCTGGTGCTAATCCTATCGTCAGTTCAATTTCTTTCCGGGGGTGGATACATAATTGACTTGTAAAGTTCATGATTCTGCCTCGCGAAATGGGGATAGGCATGCAACACTCATTTTGTGACTGCTCTACAATGTGCCCTCTCCCTTTTCATCCTGCTCGCAATCATGTTCCCAGATCTCTGGTTACTCTGTTATTCGCTCTTACACTATAGATTCTCACATTTTCCCTCACTTAACCAAACCAATTCGCTGTTGACAGTTTGATCTTCATGATTAGATCCACGGAGCTCGACTAAACCCGGGATTGATTTCTTTATTTCTACAAAGTAGACAACTAGCCTCGTAACACACCTAACCCACGGGGCGATTACGTCGAGTGATAAGATATTTTTTGCTTGCTGTCACCCCCTCATGTGAAGTAAAATAGATAAAATGCGGTCGGATACTTTTGCCGCGGTTTTTTTTTAAATAAATTTTTCTGCGATTTCCCACCATTCGTTAAGGTTCTTTGCATGCGTTGTACACCCAAGACTCTCTCTGCTCACAAAGTTTCAAAGGTCTCCATTACGGAAATGTCGTTAACAGGTCTGATGTTTTATTCACCCTAATCCATCCTTCATCGATAAACTAAAATAGTTGACACGTTTGAGAATATCACGCCCGAATTAAGTCACAGTCTCGACATTATATGTATACATATTCACTATCGCTCGTCTATCTCGCGTTCCGCTCGAATGCACAGATTCCGAGGCTGATCACGTGACACGTCAAGTTTGGCAATAATTATCGTTGTGTGTCTGAATCTGAATACGCCAAATTCGGTGTGTCAAACAGGTCCAATGACCATAGTATACTGAGCTCTCCGAATTGCATGGATTTGTTCGTCAATTTAATTTACTCGCGTTCGAGTTTTGCCACCACGTATCTATCCGCGCACACGTATCAACATCATTTTCATCAAATAGAGCCAAATCTATTTGGACTAATTACATAAAATTGGCAAATGTGCCACAACATATAAAGAGAAAATCCGTAGAATGTGTTCATAGGTTGTGTAGACGTGTTCCTTCTTGGTTGTATTGACTTAGGAAGGGAGATAACCCCAGGGTCCCCACCCGAAGCGTTTGGTTAGGAAGCCAGACCTGCAAGACAGTAGGATGGAGCTTACAGGTTTGCAGTCTATTGGAGGCTGGTGTCCAGTTCGTCGGATCATGCACCCTTTGGACGGGGTTGAAAATACAAGGTACCCAATTGTGCCCGGGATCACTAGGAAGATGTAGGTATGGGTGTAGCTCATACGTCTCCTCTTGGGGGGTTTGGAATCAGGGTTTTCAACCAACCGTCTAGGTGAATTGCCAGTAGTTCAGCCACCCGATTATAGCCTCGTACGTTGACTTTTCATCCTCTGGCTTTGGTGGGAAAACACCGTCGCGTGAAGGCAGTGAGTAGGGCTTCCTCAACAGAGGCCATTTGAGACGCTGGGTCGTATGGGAGTATTTCGTGAGGTGTAAGAGAAGAGTGACCAGTCACAACCCGAGACATTCATCCCCGACTTTACAGAGGCTTTCGGTTTACTCACTTTCGAATTTTGTCTCCACGTATCTATCCGCTCAGATGTATCCTCATCGTCTTTATCAAACAGAACCAGAATTTCGACGGTTTATTTGTTCCAAAATCCGCAGGTTTTATCTTCCAAGATTTTAGCTAGTCTGCGAAAACGGGAACGTTTTGCTTCCTTATATTCACTACTTGTGCTGTGATCACGGTTAAATTTTGAAAATATGATGTTCTTCATAGATATTCTTTTCATCCCATTGTGATTGGTATTTTTCTCAGTGCAAAGGAAAATCAAGTCTCCTCTGGAATCGACGGGATAGAAACAATGAAAATAGCGGTGTAATAAAAATCAATGAATGGAACAAAAATCGAATTATTCGAGTTCGGAGGTAAAAGAACGCTATCCGATCATTTGTTCCTGACAGTTTTGGTCGAGGCTGACTGAGTTGAAGTTGCGGTTAGCCGATAGTGGCAATAAAGCTGAAAAATCCGATCTGGAAGAAACGTGGGGTTTCTCTTCTGTGCCCAGAGCGCTTTTGGTGTTCTTGCTGGGTTGTGATGCACTTCAGGACGTACATACACGTGGCAACACAAGGCTTTCATATTCGACTTTTCGTAATACAGATAACCGATTCGTATGACTGTGTAGAACAAAGTCGTTGTTTTTCTAAGTAACCATGTATGCCTCACCATGTGTCTATAAGGTCCTAGAATCATGTTCTGTTAGTACTGGTAGTATACATGCCGCAATCTGTACGAGAATTAGCCACGTATCGCTGTGCATTGCATTCTTCACGCGAGCCTATACGAACACATGGTTGCGTAAGATCCCTGTGTTGCCGTGATTGAGTGAGCACAGATATTCTAGCATATTTCGAACTTGCTCTTTGGTGTAATTCACCCTCCCCTCCTCATCCCAAATTCTTCTGTTTACGAGATTTTCTGTCTATAGCACTCCATTCGGACAGAAACGTGTTCATCCGTTCGAACTTGAGCAATTAAGGCTTGTCTCCTATTTTGGATTGGGGTCATTTTTCGAAACCCTGTTGGAGTGAACTTTTTTCTTCCTAAAACTTTGTATCCCTTTCGCGATTGATTTTTGCTACACTATCCTTTCTCGCAGTATCCCTCCCCAGGGGCTCTGTCTTTCCATTTTTCACAAGCTCTTGCTTGTTGCTACTTCCACATCGGATAGACAACTTGTGACAGTCAGATTTTTTCACCTTCCATTGGGAACAATGTCCTCTATTTTCTTCCAGTTATACAGAAGTTCTGTGCTGTTTCTTTGTAAGTCGCGTTTCTATCGTCTCTTTATTCCCTCTACAATGACACTGTTCAGTAATAAAAAATCAGCACTAGTCGTGTCTAAATCAAACTGAACGGTTGGAATTTCCTATTTCCTTTTTCACACCTATTCTTAGGAAGCAAAGCTACAAGTCGAACTGTGCGCGGAAAAAGTCACATTGTGCAAATCCATCTATGCCGATGCAATGTCCCGATTGGAGCGGATATCTGTCTCCGTGCATGATCATAGACGGCGCCAGACAATGACCTCAACTCAGAGCTCCAGTCCACCCTCGTCTGTACGTGGGCAGGGCGTGGGAGCGGATTCGACAGAGTCCATTGTTGAATTGGCTCATCCTGAACGGGATGTGTTTTCCTCATCACCCCGGCTGAATGAGAAATCCATATTCCCCACGGACTCTCCGCTCAACCGTCTCAAACTAGATCCGAACATCTCGGCGGATTCGAAATTTCATCCTTTTGTCAACGGTTTGCTTCAGGTTAGTTTGATGCATATTTTCTTTTCGCGTTATGTTTTATTTGGCGGCGGTGACCAAGTGGTTAGGCCACCAACTACAGGTCTAATCGAAACTGAAGCAACAGGTCCCTGTGAAACACTTGTGTGTTCGTATAGGCAACAGTATTTACGCTAGAGTACATTTTTCCCCAGGTTCGAACCACTTCGCCGCTGCCCGTAGTCCCTTTGGCTGTATTTCCCCAAGCAGCATTTGTATGGCCGCAGCCCCCCTTCCTGAAGGTCGATTGTACATTTGTATATTCAATAAATAGAAAAAGGAAGTAAAATGACAATGATTATATTATAACTACGTTTGATTCCCGACTCCCACTTGTTAGGCCGCCCCGTCAGCTTTCGAGATCATCCATTCAGCGGCGTGATATATATATGTATATGTATATGTATATGTATATGTATATGTATATGTATATGTATATGTATATGTATATATATATATATATATATATATATATATTTAATGCTTATTTACCGATCTGGTCGGTTCCAGGTCTTTTTAACATTGTAGTAGAAGGTTAAGAATGACATGTTATTTCAGTCTGTACGGTATGCTTACTTATCGGTTGCATAATACGGCTGATTTGTGTTTCGATCTCGTTTCTTGATGATGGTCTGAACAAGGGTTCAGATAATTTTCCTGGCTCATTTCAACAAGCTTAGCTCTTTTCACCAGTTACTTGCTTGTTTCCGCCTATAGTGCCTTACGCTGTTTCCATACGAGTGCTGTATGTCTGATGATCAAATAGTAAAATGCCTCCGAATATCATATCGGACATAGCCTCGACATAATAACAAGTATGATGTGTACATTTCTTCATGTGCCTGAAAGATTTCCGTGGAAATGATAATAAGTTTAACTGTACTGTGTATTTTCACAATGCAGATCTGAGCTCATTGAGGAAAGACTCGAAAAGAAGGTGCAGCGAATTCATTCCGTCATTGATTTTAGACTCCCAATTATTCGGCTACGATCACTCGTTCCAAAGCACCGTTTGATTGTATTCTTCATATTTATCCACCTTTAATTTGACTACTTATAAAATATATAGTAGGTAAATTAAAAATCATGTTTTTCTCATACGTTTTTTCACCATTCCGTCGACAGACGAAGCAGACATTAATGCGGTCCTATCCAGGACAGATACTATCGTGTGAAGGTTATTAGCTGCTTTTCGGTAGCTTTTGAATCTCCCATACAATCGATAACCCTTCTTGCACCTTAAAGTGTGCTTAAGTTATTCTATCTGCGAAGTATAAGTTGGTCGTTTCACCAGTGGTTGTCGATTTGGTTCCAGTCAATTACAACTGAATAATTCCTTCTAGATTCTTCGAATTACACTAATTTGAAATGGGCAATCGAAAGTTATTGTCGGTAAGCACTGTAGGACATAACATTCACCCGTTACTGCTGTAATCCGGGTTTCACTACAGCTCAGTAGGAAATCTGCATGCCAAAGTCATGTGAATCTGTTGTGTACCACGAATCTGTACTTTCCTAGGGATATTTATTTCATGGGATCATCACATTTGTTCTCTTTTTCACTCCAATCCGGTTGGGGAATGATTTTCTCATTCAACTCTGTCTGTCTTGGTCTGTGTCACGTCCTGTTCGTCTGTATTTATATCTCTTGGAATAACACTATTGGCCGTTTTCAACCGGTACACATCATTCACGGATGATATTTGATGCTTTACATGGTATTCTTTTGTACCTCAAGTATTTTAGCATTACACCCAGATTGTGAACCGCAACGCGATATCTTATTTGCTGATCGTCTCAAGTGAATTCCTTCCTTCGACTCGGCGTTCCAAACATCTGTGTACACTAACATACGAAAAATGCCACTCGTTTTCTTTTAATTTGTTTTATTTCACTGAATATGTACAAAAATACCTTCTGGGAAGCGGTCCGCACCCGATCGAAACCGCCTAGGAGTGATTACAGAGAGCATTAGTGAGATTCCAAAGATACGTTACATCGAGGTCGATGCCATGACTGCCTTTGTTGCTTCTTCATCGACGCATCACTTCCGTTGAATCCGATTCATCTGTCTACGCTCTGAACTCCACAACAACAAAGTCAAACATAATTTGTGTGTAATCCAATTGAAGTCATCCATCATAGAAGCACATAATACCCTTGACCTCATCCTCTGTTTTGTTTTCTGAATTTGTATCCATGTTTTAACTTGATTTGTCCACAAAGTCGTATATCTGCTTGACCTCTCGAAATACATATACTGTACCGATTCGATTGTGGACCTCTGTTGTCTTTAAACTGTTCTTTTTGCATCTAATAGAAGCCCATTTTCACCGGGCTTTGTTTGAACTCCATCTCCTGTGGATGGGGTGAAGGTAAGTGTCACGATGAAAAATCGATAATTCATATTAACTTGCCCTCTAATCGCCTCGTATAAACCTATGTTTTGTTCATGGTTTGTTGCTTCCTGATGCTTTTGTGGACTTTTTTTTAAATCAAATGGTTTATCATATCACGTGGGTATGAACAGACTACTTTTTATCTTATATGCCGGTTTGTCAGCACGAAATCGATCGGTCTCTGTACGTATTGGTTATTGAACGCTATCCTTGCACCGGGCTTTAATATCGGAGGTTCCCACGTGGTCACTAATACCACCACCACCACCACCAAAATTTGGGTGTCGGGGAAATGGCTACTGCCTCGTTGAATATCACACCAATCCTAGTTGATTCTCGTACGGTCCAAATACCCGAGCTTCGTTTACCGGTTTTTAAGATTGAACAGTAAGACCTTGTGGTTATGATGCGTAAGCTTCCTCTCGGTCAGCGTACATACATAATTAAGTTTGACAAATGCAAGATGAGACCAACGTACTCAACGGAGCAAACATTTTTCAAAACATAAGATTGTAAATTGATCCTATTTTAATTCTCGCACATTCTCAGTTCCAGTTTTTACGACCAACCACTCACTTTCGTGCTGCCTTTTGGTTGCCCATGTGGTTAAAAGAATAGAATGAAGCTTGGGATGTTGAGAGTAGAGGCAAAGGAAAGATGGAGAATTCATATAGAGTTGCAATGAGTAGATGAACGAGCACCACTGTTTGTGACATTCAGTGTCGTTAAGCACCGGTCATCATGATCTCGGGGTCGCAATCCAGGGATCCTAACGGTACCTATGTGATCCGGTGTTCTGATTAGGGTTATCATATCCTAATGTCAGTTCTTAGCTTGACCGCCCTTGATCATTTTTTATCCTCTGCCTGCCTCGGCAAGCGTCGTGCGTTGTGGCAACCTGTTTGGTGACTTGTGCAACACATGTCACATTCTCCATTAAGGAAGTTCGCGCTGCACCTTACAAGAACGATCACCAAAAGATCGTAATTCCTTCCGTGAATCGCGGTTTGGGCCACACATGATTTCGAATAAATTTGATTGACGTATAGTGTTTGTCTGGACAAGTAATAGAATACAGCAATGAGTTGTCAGAATACGTCTTTGCACGGTTGTATTTGAGAAGTTGATGCATCGTCAATACCCTCGGACAATCTGATTACGGTATCATATTGTTGATTCGTTCGTAAAAATGAACCATATATTTTCATAAAAATTGCAAATTGCACGTCCACAGATGTCACGGTGTCAACGAGGCAAAAGTAATTTCAGATATGTTTTTCCCACTATTCTGATCACTGGTATACGTGTGATCACGGCGTTGGCGGCAAATCCCCCCGCCCACCCAAATAGATCCGCTGATGCGAACGTTTGTTCAGCTAAATAGTGACAACTATTCATCAATTTTCCTGCGTAGAATCTACGAGTGACTTCGAAAATCGGCCGACTGGATTCTGTCGAACGCCGTGAAAGTTCTCCGAGAGTCATGAACAGTTCAGGTTTAAAAATCATGATCATGTTTGTTTGAACGGATAAAATATGCCGTTTGGTTTCTCATTACGCGACACTGGTCTGTGAATTAGGGACAAATAGCCTGACGGTGCTCAATCAAGCTACATCCACAAGGTGACGTTCAAACAAGATTTAACAGTCTGTGTAGGCGAAGTTAGTAGACACGTAGCTAAAGCATCTCAGTGCCCAAAACCTTCAAATAAAACTCAGTTGTAGTTCTGGCTCCAGTTGGTGTATGGAGTTGAATCGTTTCAAGAAGCATTGGCCGTGAAACCAGGTACTATGTCATTATGAAAGATTATTTTCTGAGTTCTAGTTCATCGGCGGCGGTTCCTATTCCAATAATCGATCGAAAATAAATACAGCAATCAATTTTAACTTTGTGCCATTCACAAACGCATAACACCAGCTCTGTGGAATTCACACTAACAAAATCTCTAATCCCTCACCATTTCTGACGTCAGGTCATACATATTGATTGACGCATGATTGATTACAATCATCGTTTGCATCACTCACACGCAGCGTATTTCTTCTTACCCGCAAGATCATCAACGACCGCATCATGTTCAGACCGGTTTCCGCTTGTCAACTGACTTAGAAACAATTTACCGTCGAGGTCGTCACTCAACAATTGTTCCTAATTCTGACTCACTTTGCCTAACGCATAGTATCTCTTTCATAGCCAATACATACAATGGTGTATTTCATGTTCCACATTAACTGACAACAACATCGTCGTCACATAAAGTATAATTTCTCTTCTGTACCTCTCTACGCTTCCTTGCCCTCCCCTATGGTCATTTAGCACGTCCATGCTGCTGCTGCACAATTGGCCGTTTGTGATGAAAGTATCCGACTGAGTTCACCCTCGATGGGAACAGTTTCTCACAGTCCATACGCCACTCCCAACTCAGTTCACCCGAGAGCGAGAGTCACCTCTCAGACTTTGTCCGATTTCAGCACGCGAACAGCCAATGTATCCTCCGATGATCGTGCCTCGACCAGTTATGAAACATCAACTGTCAAACCGTGCCGCGATCACTCTTTCTCTCACATGAACTCATCATTCGGAGCTGTTTGGGATTGTTTGTCTGATCCACACGATTTGCCCCAAGATATCCTCTCCTCTGTTGCTTCCTATTCGACGTTATACATGAAACGCGCTCATTCTTCGTCAGCCATACCGACTAGCTGTCTCCAGTAATGACACCGATCAGAACCAGTTGCCAGGTTTCTCCACCCCACCCCCAAATTTGGTCACTGTCCGTTCACTCAATTGAATGTCACAATCAATGGGGTGGGAAAAATGGTGCACAGTCGCATTTGATACTTTCATGTGCGTAGGAAGACAATAATTTTGTCTCACTACTCGCCAACCCCCTTCTCACTGCTGTCTTCAGATCTGTTCTGTCGGTATATCGCAGCAGATTTGATTTGATTCAGGTCTGTATTTCCTAGTCATTCATTAAGCGTCACGGATTCCAGGAATTTCGTTTTTTCGAACAAATCGTCTGTGTCCCTGTGACGTACTGTGCAACTGTACTCTCTTTCACCGGACCGTCCCTAAGATAGCCATATATGTCATATTTAAGGATTGGTGTATTTATCCTGTACACATGCCTATCTCCCCCCCCCCCNTTATCTCCATCTCTCCGCCTTACTAGTCTTCCATGATCATCATGTCCAGTGTGGTCATTTTCGTTTCTCTCTCTCTTTATCCCCGCTCCCTCATGCACAGTGCGTCCGTTCGCCTTGTCCTCTCCCGCCCCTCGATCGCCATTGCGCCTAAGACATGCATAGATGTTCCACAAAAAGCATGTCGTTCCAAATCGTCTTTGTTTTACATTTTGGCCTCTCACTGGACTATGTAATGTATTGTACAGTAGCAAAAAAAGAGTCGTGGATTGTTCACATGTTCAGTGTGATAACACAATACATTGTTCGTCCAAAAATTAGGAACCCTAGACTCCACCAGAAAAATAACTATTTTTATTTTTGTTGAGAAATACTGATGTGGGATCCGACTAACTGCCACGCGTTCTAACGGGATGAGTCGGTGTAAAATTGTTCACTTCTTATTGT